GAAATTCCTTAGCAGGTACAATGTACACTATTCTGGTAATGGGTACACTGGAAGCCCAGATTTCACAACAGCCAGGTTATCTGCGGGTATACATCCATGTATCAAAAATGCAGTTGTACCCCCTAAATTTATATAAAATGAAAAAAAACATACAATTGAGTGGCTTTCACTACATTCATTATTCTATGCAACCATCACCACTATCTAATTTCACAATATTTCTATTACTTCGAAAGAAGTATATTTTAGTTTTCTGCTTTTTATTTTCTGTCTTTATTTCCTCTTCATTGTCAAAGGATATTATCACTAGGTATACTATTCTAGGATAAAAGTGTTTTTCCTTCAGAATTTTAAATATGTCACGCCTTTTCTGATCTGTAAGATTTTTACTGAGGAGTCTTCTATCAGATGTATTGGAACTCCTTTATATGTTATTGTTTTCTTTTCTCTTGCTGCTTTTAGGTTCCTTTCTTCATCTTTGACATTTGGGAATCTGATTATTAAATGCCTTGAGGTAGTCTTCTTTGGGTTAAATCTGCTTGGTATTTCTATAATCTTCTTGTACTTTAATATTGATATATTTTTCTAGGTTTGGGAAGTTCTCTGTTAAGGTAAGAATTATTTAAGGATGAGAAAGTGGAGAAATGAATAGTGGCATTCATTAAATAAATTTTTCTACCAAGATGAAGAAAGAAATAAAATATAAAGAAACGTTGATTTTGTGATGAAATTTGCTTTATTCATTTTATAAAATGAAAAATTCTAGAATATGACTCAAAAATGTGAATAAAAATTATTAAGCATAAATTTATAATATCAGAGAAAAGTATGTGAATTCTTGCAAATAGGACAGGAAGAACTGACTCTAATTCTTTTCATGGTTTCTTGACATTGCTATAATCCTGCTACTATTATTAGTCTCTCACCTACATATTAATTTGGCAGGCCCTTGATACGAAAAATGTTCAAGTAATTTCCTCAGTTTCATTCTCAGTTCAAAAGAAGAAAAGTGGAAGTCAAAGCTGTAGCTGTTTGCAGATAATAGGATTGCATACCTAGAAAATACTAAAGACTCCTCCAAAAGATTCCTAGATTTGGCAAACAAATATAGCAGTCTTAGGTTACAAATCAATGTGCACAAATCAGTAGCACTGCTATACACCAACGGTGACCAAGCTGAGAATCAAATCAAGAATTCAATCCCTTTTACAACAGCTGAAAAAAAAAATATCTAAGAATATACTTAACCAAGGAGGTAAAAGTCCTCTATAAGGGAAACTACAAAATACTGATGAAAGAAATTGTATATGACACAAACAAATGGAAACACATTCCATGCTCATGGATTGGAAGAATTAATATTGTGAAAATGACTATACTGCCCAAGCAATCTACAGATTCAATGCAATTCCCATCAAAATACCACCATCATTTTTCACAGGATGAGAAAAAAATCCTAAAATTCAATGAATTCAGAAAAGAGCCTGAATAACCAAAGCAATCCTAAACAAAAAGAACAAGTGTGAAGCAACACATTACCAGACTTCAAATTATATTATAAGGGTATAATTACAAAACAGCATGTGCGCTTATAAAAGTAGGCACATAGACCAATGGAATAAAAGAGAGAACCCAGAAATAAAGCTGAAAACATACTGTCAACTGATCTTACACAAAGCATACAAAAACATAAAACTGGGGAATGGACACACTATTTAATAAATGGTGCTGAGAAGACTGGCAAGCCACATATAGAAGAATAAAACTGGATCTCTATCTCTCACCTTATACAAAAATCAAGACTCAAAAGGCAAATGGAACAAAAATAAAAACAAATAAATGGGACCTAATTAAACTAAAAAAAACTTCTGCACAGCAAAAGGAATACTAATCAGAGTAAACAGACAGCCCACACAATGGGAGAAAATATTTGCAAACTATACATCTGACAAAGAACTGATATGCAGGATCTAAAAGGAACTCAAACAAATCAGCAAGAAAAAACAAGCTCATCAAAAAGTGGGCAAAGGACATGAATAGACATTTCTCAAGAGAAGACATACAAATGTTCAGAAAGTAAATGGAAAAACGCTCTGCATTACTAATCATTAGGGAAATGTAAATTAAAACCACAATGAGATACCACCTTACTCCTGTAAGAATGGTCATTATTAAAAAGTCAAAAAAACCACAGATGATGGCATGGATATTGGGAAAAGGGAGTGCTTATAAACTGCTGGTGGGAATATTTCCAGCTTTGTTACACTCAGTCTAAAATGTTATTTTTATTATTTATGGACTCTATTGAAGTTTGCTTTTTGATCAAACACAATTTATTTGAGATCAGAAACTCAAAAATTTTGTGGATTTTTATATGCACTAGAAAAGAAAGAATATTGTCTATCATTGGTACATAAAACACAATTTGTTATCTTTTATCTACAAGTTTTACCTATTTTTCTATTATTTTCTATTGGTCAAAATATCCAAAACTATCAACTAATGCTTTTGCAATTGTGTGTATTTTCAATCTGAAAAATATAAAATCCATAAAATTTTACTTTCAGGAATTATACTGTTTAAACACAGAAGTATTTCATACTATCAATTCACTGAGTACTATGTGGTCATATTTCATATATTCAACCCATAGAAAGTGGGTAAAAGATGGCGTAATAAACAAATTTTGAGTCTAATAAACCTAAATTTAAATCTCAGTTTTACTTTTTACCATCACTATGAACAACCATTTACACTGCCTAATACATAATTTGTGAATTTGTAAAATGGAGATAATAATACCTTTCTTAAATAAGTATTGTGCAACTCTAACAAAGTATAACATTGTACATCAAGCGCAGGACCATAGAAACAATTTTGGTGCTCAATTAAGGTTATTCTTACATTGAAACTTTTCCAAAAGTATTTTTATACATATATTTATCTAATTATTAAATTTACACTATATAGCATGTCTCCCCTTTATATGAAAGCTGTAGTATTTTTTCTTGTATTTCCTTTCTCCTCTCAACCCTTTCTGTTATTATTAACTTGTAAAGCTCAATTTCTTCCTTCTTGTGTTTTAACAATATTTCAAATATAATTCTACAAGTGTACTTAGTATAATTATTGTATTAAAATTAATAATGTAATCATGGACCACAGTTTTTTGAAATAGTTTATTTTTTCTCTCTCCTTTTCTCTTTCCTCCTTTTTCCCATTTCCTACTTAGCCACTTAGAAATGCAAATATAGCCTTTTACCTCCCCTTCACTAGACACTCCCCACAGGGCAAGTACCCCTTCAGAGAGGAAATTTCACCCACCAGGCAGTTGCCTTGAGAGATAACAGTCAATTTATAACCCAAAGCATGTCTGCCTAAGAAGATGCCAGCAGTCACCAGCTTGACAGTCCAGTAGATCAGGCAGCAAGCTAACCCAGAGATCTGCCACTTGTTTGCTTCCCCCTCCTGCCACGAGCTTGCCATTTATGCTAGGCATCTCTTTTAGAACCGCTCGCTTTCTGCTCCAAAAGCAAAGTGGTATCCTTAGGCAGGAAGCCTATGTAAGAAAAACAGTTCTCTAAACAGTTCCTTTGGGGAATCATTAGATTCATAGCCAATACTTAAGACCATGATACTAAAGGAAGAGAATGTAGAAAATAAAGTTAAACAAAGAATATGACATAAATGAAATATGTAGTGTCTCTGAAGTAAATTAAAATGATAGTGTTTCAAGATATTGGAAATATTAAATTGCAATCAAAATTCCTAAGAGTGTGAGATGAGCAAAGAAGGAGGCCTATTTAATTTGCTAACATGGAAAAAGCATTGGTGAAGTTGACAATAGAAATTTTAGATAACAAATGGAATAAGAGAAAAACAAACTAGGAGAAGAGTGATGTCAGGCTGAGGAAGTAAAGACAACATTGACAACCTTTGGCTTTAGGGTATACCAAATATTGAAATAGGGTGATACATGGAGAATGATTATATTTTAGTGGGTGCTGCTCTTTTGTCAGATTGTAAGATGCAAGATAGTCAAGAAGCATTCACTAAGTAAACAAATGCAATTTGATGACTATAGTTAACTAAATTTTAAGGAAATATGTGTCTTCTTGTCAGTTTATTTTTGACATAGAAAAATAGCAGTAAAAATTGAGTTTATATTCCTTTGGCTTAGCTTGTGAGATGTTAATATGAAAGTACTATCTTTTATAGTTTCTCAATTGTTTTTTAATTTAGATAAATTTAAATATTAGAAATATATACTCAATTTTTCTTATTAGATTCATAATTAGAGATAAAATGAAACAAGTAGATTTTGATCCCCTTTCACAGAGATCTTAGAGGAAATATACTGTTGTTTTTTTTGGTTTGTTTTGTTTTTGTTTTTGTTTTGGTTAAGAGATCTATCTCTCTTTCCAGACTGTATGCTTTTTTAAAAGCCCCTTTAAAGAAAATGAAATATCTAATTGTTCTGTTGTGAAATAATTATGTGACCTATTCAGCCTAATATTATTTTAGCTAGATGCTTAGAGACCTAAAACTCATTATATTAATGACTTTATGGGATACACTCTAGATTCTTTTTCAGGAAAACGTCATTGAAGAAACAGAGGTTTTTGATCATTATGAGAAATATGTAGCTCATGTCTTCCAGACAAAAGTAGTAACTGGCTGTTAAGCTGAAAATCGTGATACTGAAAGAGGACTCAGGTCATCTCCTACTTAGGTTTGCCTTTTCATAAAAAATGTACTCACTAGGTTTTGTTGAAGGAAACATGGTTTAATTATTATACTGGTCCTTCACAGGAGTGACAAGGCAACAAATATATAGAAATGTTGGTGGACATGCCAGTGGTGTTGAGATTCCTAAGGTACTTACTGAGAATGCACCAGCTGACAAACTCCTTTTTTGTATGTATGCAGTACTTCCAGAAAGATTTTATCAGCTCCTGCCTAAGAGGCAAACAGAAGTAATTCTATCCTTTTCTTCTCACTCCTTCGAAGTGTTCATTCATATGCTATGGGATTTGGTATCCTTAGAACCTGAAAGGAGCCTTATGACACAGTCTCGTATCTGTTTGGTTTTCACCCCATAGACAATAGGGTTCATAGTGGGAGGTAGGAGCAGATAAATATTGGCTACAATGATGTGGCAAGAAGAGGGGATTGTGTGTTCCCCAAAGCGGTGGGAAAAGAAGGAGAAGAAAGCTGGAGTGTAGGAGAAAACAATGGCACAAATGTGGGCACTGCAGGTATTAAAGGCCTTCTGTCTAGCATCTGCTGAGGAGAGGCTGACCACTGCCCGGAGAATCATGGTATAGGAGGCTGTGATACACAGTATGTCAAAGCCCCCAATCAGGAGGGCAACCATCAAACCATAGACGGCATTGACCTTGACATTACCACAGGACAATTTGGCTACAGACATGTGGTCACAGTAGGTATGGGGAAGTATATTGCCTCTGCAGTAGGGCAGGCGCTTGGTGAGGAAAGTGAAGGGAATAATGAGCAGTACCCCTCTCAGGAAGGTGGCAAGCCCAACCTTTGTGATGAGAGGATTGGTGAGGATGGTTGAATAGCGTAAGGGGTAGCAGATGGCCACATAGCGATCCAGGGCCATAAGCATAAGCACCCCAGACTCCATCCCTGTGAAGGTGTGGATGAAGAACATCTGGACAAGGCACTCATCAAATCCAATGTCCTTGAGATGAAACCAGAAGATGCAGAGGGCTTTAGGGACTGTACTAGAGCACATGACAATGTCAGTAAAGGAAAGCATGGCCAAGAAGTAGTACATGGGTTTGTGCAGGGCATCCTCATAGCGAATGAGGTAGAGGAGTCCACAGTTCCCTACCATAGCCACAACATACATAGAGCAGAATGGAAAGGAAATCCAGAGTTGTGTGTCCTCCAGTCCTGGGACTCCACTCAGAATAAACGAAGCTGGCATTAGGTCTGTTTTATTCAGTGTTAGCATGATAAATCTGGTAGGTTATAAAGTCACTTAAATTTTGTGTGTGTTTTCCTAGAGTTAAAAAAAAAAAGACAAGAGAAAATATAGGTTATCTTTACTGTCTCCCTCTCCCCAACTTTAAAAAATTCCATAATGCATTTTCATGGTCCAACAACCAAATTTCTGAATGCCAAGGAATAGTTTGGTTTGTCTGTTTACTTTTATGGATTGATCAATTCCTTGATTAAGTAAACAGTTCTTATTGGGAAGTCTAAGTTTTCATCACAGATGCAAGTCAAACATTAATTAATTTGTAAAAAGACATATTCCCAATCTATTCCCAATCTCATAGATTTATAATCAAATATAATTCTAACTTTTCAATGGTATTTTTACTAGTGTATCCTACTTAACTACAACTATACTTATCTCAATACAGGTTTTATTTTAAAGAAGAGTAATTTGATTACTTCACTGATGATCCAAGAGATGAGATGTAGACTTTTTAATTTTATTCTTAATGAATGTCTGGTATTCATTCTTGGGTACTCAGACACTGTTCAAAGAATTTCGATATTTTAATTATTACTCAATGAAGCTTAGGGTCTCAAAAATTAGTAAATGTATTGGGTGTCTATAGTCAATAATAATTTAATTATATATTTTTAAATAACTAAAAGAGTATAATTGGGTTGTCTGTAACACAAAGGGTAAATGTTTGAAGTGATGGATAACCCTATTTACTTTAATCATATTATTATTATTATCACTACTAGTTTAAGACAGTGTCTCACACTGTTGCCCAGGCTGGAGTGTAGTGGTGCAATCTTGGATCGCTGCAACCTCCACCTTCCAGGTTCAAACAATTCTTCTGTCTCAGCCTCTTGAGTAGCTGGGATACCAGGTGCATGCCACCATGCCTGGCTAAGTTTTGTATTTTTAGCAGAGACAGGGTTTCACCATATTGGGCAGGTTTGGTCTCCAACTCCTGACCTCAGGTAATCCACCTGCCTTGGTATCCCTAAGTGCTGGGATTACAGGCGTGAGCCATTGCGGTCAGCCCTTTAATGGGATTATGGCACATTGTATGCTTCTGTCAAAATATCTCAGACACCCATAAATATATACACCTACGATGTACCCACAAAAATTTAAAATTTAAAAAAGTCAATGAAGTTTTGATTCACTATTTTCACTTTTCAAGATATCTTTCTTGTGTTTTATGTATCCAGTCAACACAAACTAGAAGATAACCAAATGCATACATACACAAAACATATGAGGCACTCCAACAACATCAGTAAGAAAAAGTTGCGGGAAGAAACATACACTTCAAAAGAGGGATAAAAGTGCCAACGAACATTTAAATAGGCACAAACTTTTATATTAATCAGAAAAATAAGTAAAATTTGTATCTCTCATGACAGAGCACCTTTTTTTTTTGGTATGTAGTGACTTATCAAACTGGACAGCTAAAATGAAAAGGACTAAAAATACTAAGCATTGGCAAAGATGTAGAGTAATTGCAATTCTCATTTCTTATGGGAAGACATGTAAATTTGAACAACTGTTAATTGGATATCTCGTTATGATAAACATACACATGACCATCATTTACATTTCTAACGCAACAGTGTACATGTATTTACTAGAATATATCAGTTAGAATGCTTATTGTAACATGGTTTGTAGTGTAGCCTAAAACTGGAAAAAAACTAAATGTTCATCATGGGCAAATAAATTTTGGTACATTCCCACAATGATATACCGTGTAACAATAAGAGTTAACAATCTATGACTGTATGCATAATATAGACTAATCTCACAATCTGTGTTAATTTTTTTAGAAAGATTTAAAATAGTAGGTAACATTTTGTGTTCTTTCAATGAAATACAAAAATGGATCAAATTATTCTGTGCTATTAGAAATAGAAAAATACTTTTACAAAGCGAGAGAGAGTGATAACTGAAAGGCAGTATGTGGTAGAGGGTCCTGTGAGTTGCTGGTCATATTCTCTTACTTGATTTGGTTGTGAGGTATACAAGATGCAGGTTTTAAAAATCAATCAACATGTAATTGGATTAATTGTAGAATTGCATAGGTATGTTAGAATTCATAATAACAAAAATTAAATTGCCAAGAGGATTAAGGGACGCTACCTCATTTTAAGTGCTCAATACCCATATTTGTATTTTCTTCTCAGGCTTGCAGCCACTTTGGCAGTGCTTAAAAAATTCACACCTTAGGAATCAACAGTGCCACCAAATGAGTTCTCTTTTGTGCCCCATCAGAGGAGGTATTCATCCTGCCCTCCATTAATAAAATAAACTCTTTTACAATTATTGTCTGATAGGAGATACGGTTTCACATAAAAATTCTGCATCATTGAGTAACACCAAGAGGACAGATCAGATGTCTCAAAAGCCAACTTGTTTTGAAAATAGTAGAGAAACACAGGTTAAACTTGTTAATAGGCATACTCCTCAAAGGTGTGTCCTTAAGTCATTACAAAATGGGGAGGGATAACATGGGGAGAAATGCCAGATATAGGTGATGGGGAGGAAGGCAGCAAACCACATTGCCGTGTATGTACCTATGCAACAATCTTGCATGTTCTTCCCATGTACCCCCAAACCTAAAACGCAAGTAAAATATATATATATATATATATATATATATATATATAT